AGTGTCACGTTGATATTGATGGTGGTGATGGTGGTGATGATGATGCTGATGATTATGCTGATGCTGATGCTGGTGCTGGTGCTGATGCTGATGTCTCTGATGATGGTGTGGTGATGCTGATGCTGGTGATAATACTGACGAGTATGATGATGGCTACGATGATGATGATGGTGATGATGGTGTTGATGATGTCGATGATGATGGCAATGGATATTATGATGATGATGCTGTTGTTATTGGCAATGATGATGATGATGACGATGATGCTGATGATGATGATGAAGATGACGATGAAAATGATGATGATGAGGATGAGGATGATGATGATGATGATGCTGATGATGATGATGATGATAATGGTGATGATGATGATGATGATGATGATGATGATGGTGATGATGATGATGATGATGATGATGATGATGATGATGATGATGATGGGAGGAAGGGGGAAGGGGCGCAGGAGGATAATACTTGGAAGAGCAGGATATGGAGAAAGTGGAGGTGCAGCAGCAGGAGCAGGAGAAGAAGAACGAGGAGGGGAACGAGGGGTACGGCAAAAATGTTTGAAAAAGCCGTCCCAAGCAATCGCGGGGCCAGGCCGTCGGCCAAATGCCGACTCGCCGCGAAGCGACTGGCGCACAGGAAAGACCCTGTCCTGCTGGGCTCTAGACCTCAGAGATCCTGATCTCCTCACGGCGTTTGCTCCAGAACTCTGGGCCCCATCTATCGCTGGAGCACGCGCTGTGGATGTGTGCGTTTGTGTGTGTGCGTGTGCTTATTCATATTTCTGCTTCCTCACGGCCTGCCGCTCGCTCAGCTTACCCCACACCCGGGATTACACAGCTAGGCTCGAGAGCACCCACCATTCGCGCGATGTAGCGCCTCCCGCCACATTCCACGCGATCGTGGCGCACATCGCCAGAGGAGTAAGAAGTGTGCGCGTTTGCTGTGACCCCGAGCCCCGAAACAGGCCCTGGGCCTCCGGGAGGCCCAACAGTCCACAAGCCGGGCCGCCCTGGCTTCCTCACGGCGCTCGCGGTCCAAGCTCTCCGGCCGCAGGCCCGAGTCAGAGAGGACATGCTCGGTCGGGACGGCACTGGAGCCTCCACAGGGCCCTCCGACGAGACGCGGCCGCTGGAAAGCACCCTGAAGGGCACAAGAGCCGCCGAAGGCCTCCGACAGAAGGCTCCGAAGCCAATGATCCATCATCGGAACCATCATCATCACCATCACCAGCATCACCACCAACACCACCACTACCATCGTCATCATCATAACCATCATCAACATCATATTATCAGCATCATATTCATTACGATCCTCAGCATCAGCATCATCATCATCAGCATCGTTATCAACATAATCAGCATAGTCATCATCATCGTCATCATTCCTTATCCTCAGCATCATCATCAGCATCATCATCAGCAGCATCATCGTCATCATCATCAGCAGTGCCGTCGTCACCATCATCGATCGCGGTCATCATCAAGGTCATCGGCATCGGCATCGGCATTGTCATCAGCATCATCATAATCATCATCAGCATAATCATCCTCATCATTATCATCATCACCACCATCACCATCACCAGCATCATCATCATCATCAGCAGTATCGTCATCATCATCATCATCATCAGCATCATCATGTTCATCATCATCATCATCATCATCATCATTATCATCATCATCAGCACCACCATCAGCCACCACCACCATCGCCATCGCCATCGCCAATACCATCACCACCGTCGCCATCACCATCGTCGTCATCACCACCAATATTGGCATCACCATCGACACCATCACAAACAACGCCATCATCACCACCAACATCACTGTCATGGGGAAGCAGAAAAGTGTGAACGGATAACGCTACTCCCTGGACCTCTCCTGGGGTGCGTGCTGACAATCAGTTCGAGGCGAATCGAATCCAGCCGTTACGGGGGCCTCCCAGGAGGCCAAACATGGGAAAAGCGGGGAAAGGGTGGCGGTATCAACACCTCTTCCCCCTCAAGCATCACCACCACCATCACCACCACCACCACCGTCACCACCATCACCGCCACCATCACCACCATCACCACCACCATCCCCATAACCATCACCACCACCACCAGCACCATCACCGCCACAACCAGCACCGTCATCATCGTCACGAGATCTTCCCCTCAGGCGTCACAGAGGCCCGGGCAACCGGGCGGCGGCCCTCCGCGGGACGCCCCTCCCTCGAGGCGGGGCGGGGCGGGCAGCGCCCCTGGGCAGTTGCAGGGTGTGGGCCAGCATCCGCATATGGTGTTGAGAGGGAGGGGAGGGAGGGAGGGGAGGGGAGGGGAGAGGAGGAAGGGAGGGGAGGGAGGGAGGTTGCTGTGCTCGACACCTGGACGTCGGAGGAAGGGGAGGGGAAAGAAAAAAAGGAAGAAGGGACGGAGGGAAAGGAGAGAGGAAGAGGAGGACTCCCCCTTCGCACTCCCCCTCCTTGTCCTGCTTCTCCTTCTGCCTCCTCCTCCGCCTCCTCCTCCGCCCTCCTCCTCCTCCTCCTCCTCTCGTCGTCGTCCTCCTCCTCCTCCATTATGCTTTCTCCTCAACCCTGCTCTTCTCTCTTCCTCCTCCTCCTCCTCCTCCTCCTCCTCCTCCTCCTCCGCCTCCTCCTGTTCCTGTTCCTCCTCCTCCACCTGTTCTGCTCCCTCCTCACCCCTGCTCTTCCCTCCTCCTCCTCCTCCTCCCCTCCTCCCTGCTCCTCCTCCGCCTCCTCCTCTCATCCTTAGTTGTTTGCCTTGTCCTCCTCCTCCTCACCTCCTCCTCCTCCTCTCCTCCTCCTCCCCTCCTCCTCCTCCTCCTCCTCCTCCTCCTCCTCCTCCTTTTTCTCTTCCTTTTTCTCCTCCTGCCTCCTCCTCCTTTCCTCCTCCTCCTCCTTCTCTCTCCTCCTCCTCCTCCTCCTCCTCTCCTCCTCCTCCTCCTCCTCCTCCTCCCCCTCCTCCCCTCCCCTCCTCCTCCTCCGCCTCCTCCTCATCCCTCTTCCTCCTCCTCCCTCCCTCCTCCTCCTCCTCCTCCTCTCCTCCTCCCCTCCTCCTCCTCTCCTCCTCCTCCTCCTCCTCCTGCCTCCTCTTCTCTCTCCTCCTCCCCTCCTCCCTCTCCTCCGCATCCTCCTCCTCCTCCTCCTCCTCCTCTCCCCTCCTTCTCTTCCTCCTCCTCCGCCTCCTCCTCCTCCTCTCTCCTCCTCCTCCTCCTCCTCCCTCTCTTTCTCCACCGCCTCCTCCTTCTCCTCCTCCTCCTCCTCCTCCTCCTCCTCCTCCTCCTCCTCCTCATCGTCACCATCATCAGCATCATCATTCTCATCACCATCAGCATCATCAGCATCAGCATCACTATCAGCAGCATCATCATCAGGAGCAACAGCCGCATCATCAGCATCATCATCATCATCATCATCATCATCATAATCATCATCAGCATCATCATCGTCATCATCATCACCATTATTATCGTCATCACCAGCATCATCTCCATCATCAGCAGCATCATCAGCATCATCAGCAGCATCATCATCAACGTCATCATCATCGGCATTACCATCATCATCCGCATCATCAGCATCACCATCATCATCACCATCAGCAGCATCAGCATCATCATAAGCAACAAAACATCATCATCAACATCATCATCACCATACTCATCACCAGCAGCATCAGCATCAACATCACCATCAAAATCATCGTCAGCAACATCATCAGCAGCATGAGCATCAGCAACATCCGTATCACCACCATCAACAACATCATCATCATCAGCACCACCATAGTCATCACTATCAACATCATCATCATCAGCAGCACCAGCATCATCATCATCACCATCATCATCATCATCATCATCAGTACCAGCATCATCATCTGCATCACGAGCATCCTCAACAACATCATCATCAGCATCAGCAGCATCATCATCAGCATCAGTATCATCAGTAGCATCGTCATCATCATCACCATGATCATCATCAGCATCACCACATCATCAGCATCATCATCAGCATCAACATCAGCATCATCAGCAGCATGATCATCATCTGCATCACCATCATCAATCACATCATCATCAGCATCAGCATGAGCATCATCATCAGCAGCATCATCATCGGCATCACCATCATCAACAACATCATCAGCATCAGCATCAGCATCATCACCACCAGCATAATCATCATCATCATCATCATCATCTTCAGCATCAGCATTATCAGCAGCATCAGCATCATCATCATAAATAGCATCATCATCAGGAGCAGCATCATCATCACTAGCATCATCATCATCATCATCATCATCATCAGCGTCATCATCAGCATCATCATCAACATTATCATCAGCATAATCATCATTATCAGCATCATCATCATTTATCATCAGCATCATCATTAGCATCATCATTGTCAGCATCATTATCACTAGCATCATCATCATCAGCAGCAGCAGCACCATCCTCATCAACCACATCATCATCATCATCATCATCATCATCATCATCAGCATCAGCATCAGCATCAGCATCATCGTCATCATCATCAGCAGCATCAGCATCATCATCATCAGTAGTATCGTCCTCATCATCACCAGCATCATCATCACACCATCTCCATCTTCATCTTTATCTTCATCAGCATCAGCATCAGCATCAGCTCCAGCATCAGCATCATCATCATGATCATCATCATCATCATCATCATCATCAGCATCGTCATCATCATCCTTCTCGTCCAGCCTATTCGTCCAGGAGAAGGTGGAGGAGAAAGAGGAGGAGAAGCAGGAAAGGAGGAGGAGGAGGCGGAGGAGGAGGACAAGGACGAGGGGGAAAAGAGCGAGGAGGGCGGGGAGAGGGTGTGGAGGGGAGGAGCCGGGACTGCCTGGGGCAGCTGTCTGTGCGCAACCCGCAGCCTTACCATCCCTGGGATCCGTCGACGCAAAAAGCTGCAACTTTGTGAAATCACCGCCAGAGCCCCGGACACCAATTTCCTGCGGCATTTTTCAACCCGGATCTATATGTGAGGGTCCCAGGGCCCGAAATGATGCGAGAACGCCCGACTCGGAAAAAATGCGAAGCCACGCCAGGATCTAAGGGATCCTCCATATCGACGTGGAGACCCTCATCGGCGACCCGAGCTCTGGCTGCGGGTCCTGCCCGCGGGGCCGCATCCGGCACCCCCCGCGCGAGCCGCTACCGCGCCGATGGGCCTACTCGTACACGGGGGCGGGGGGCTGCACGGCGGGGGGCTGGCCCAGCTCCGCCTGATGGTGGCGGAGGAGTCCCTCTCATCACCCTCCTCCGCCTTCCTCCCCCCTATTCCTCCCTCCTCCTCCTCCTCCTCCTTCACGTAATCCCCCTCCGATATCCCCTCAAGCAGCACTGGTAAACTAAAAACAACTTGAGCCTAGTGAGGTGAGGCTCAAGAGGAGGAAGTGGCGCTCAGACGATGATGACGATCAGCGTGCACCCTTTTTGCCAAGGAGCCGTGCTGCTCCTCTGGCGCCTGGCGCATGGCGCGCCGGCGCCTGTCTTGGGCCACGCGTCGCGGGCCACGCCGCCGAAGCGCCCGAGCGCCTCGGCGGCGCCGAAAAAGTCCAGAACAGGGCGGGAAGGGGGCCTGTAGGCCCCCAGGGTGGGCCAGCTTGGCCTTTGAAAAGGCTTGAGCCGCCAAGCGGCGGAGAGAGGGGAAGAAGCGGGAAAGGGCAAGCAAGGAGGCAAGGGCAGGAGCAAGGGGACCGCAAGTGGAAGCCCGCGCCAGTTCTGGAAACGGGGAGATCCATCAGTTTTACCAAACATCCTAGATATCCCCTCAAGCAGCACTGGTAAATTAAAAACAACTTGAGCCGAGTGAGGTGAGGCTCAAGAGGAGGAAGTGGCGCTCAGACGATGATGACGATGAGCGTGCACCCTTTTTGCCAAGGAGCCGTGCTGCTCCTCTGGCGCCTGGCGCCTGGCGCGCCGGCGCCCGCTCGCACGGCGGGCGCCGGCGGCGGACCTCCGCTGCCCGCTCGGCCGTTGGCGGCGGCAGCCTCGCACCTCAGTCACGATGCGGCCTCGGTTCTCCTCCTCGGGGCCATTCTGGCGGCCCGCGGTGCCCTGACGGGGCCACTTCCCGTGTCGCCTCATTGGCCCGGCGGAAGCCCTGGGTCTCGTGCACGTACCTCACGCCGTTGTAACGCACCGGGCCCATCACTCCCGCGTCGCAGTACGTCTTCTGCGGCTGCTAGGGGAGCTTGGGCGCCTTGGGCGTCGGCTGCACTACGGCCCGCTGTGCTTCACGCTCCGGCACCTTCTCGCTTTTCTTGGCCATCCCGCAGCAGCAGCAGCAGCAAAACACCCCGATGCCCGCTGCGAACAGCACTGCGATCATGGCCGCCACCTTCAGCGCCGTCCCCACCGGGAAGACGATCGCCACCGTGCTCATCTGCGGCTCCCAGCGAAGTATAACCCCCTGGGTCTTGTCGTCAACCGCCGCCATCTCCTGGCTCTGTGTCTCCCCCGCTGCCGTTGCGAGCGCCGCTGCCATTAGCGCTGCGCACGGCAGGCTCGCCCGGGGGTTGCGGGCCCTGCGGTTGCTGCTGCGCCCGCTGGCTGCCCGCCCACTCCTTAAGCTGCCGCCTGCACTGCCAAACAGCTCCCAGCAGCGCCGCCGCCAGCAGCATCCCCGCTGCCACTGCCCACGTCCTCAAGCCGACCGGGAGCACGAAGATCAGTAGGTTCTGGCTCTCCGCCGGGTCGACCTTGATCACGTAGCCGCCCGCCCCGCCGGCTGTGGAGGAGAGCGTCGTCGCGGCCAGCGCAGCTCCGGGCCAGAGCGGGGTCGGGCCCTTGCCCGCGCGGCGCTCGCTCTTGGCCGCGTGGGCCGGCGGCGCCGTGAGCTCGGACGTGTCTGTCGCCATGTCGGTCGAGATGCCGCGCATGGGTTCGTGGCTCTCCCACAGGCACCCATGGAAGCTGTCGGAGGCCCAGCGCCCGAAGCGCTTGACGCGCTGCAGGTCGTCCACGGCATGGCACATCGCCGCTGCGCCTCCTATGCGGAGGCTGCGTGAGCCGATCTCCTCCTTCCTCAGCCCGGCGGCCAGCCCTGCCACTGTCAAGTAGTGCTGCACCTCCTCGCGGCGGATGGGTGCACCGTTCGCCCAGCGGAAGAGTGGGAGCTCCGCCTCGCTGCCTCGCAGCCTCTGCGGGTAGTGCTGCTCCAGCTGGCGGATAGCAGCCACTGGGCACAGCGATGTGCCCGTCTCGTACTGGTTCCTCACACACCCCACATTATATTGATCCGTCTTCGAAGAGGTGATGTGGAGCACCACCTCCACTGCGTCTCTGAAGGCGCAGGGCTGGTTGTTGCTGTCACGGCCCGTGATGTCCACGCCGCGCACGACGCGCTCCTGGCTCCACGTTTTTCCAGGCTGGATCAAGTACTCGGACGCCCTCAACATGAGGAAGAAAGCCACAGCCACGGCGGCCCACAGGACCGCGGCATCCGTCGCGGGGAGGTCGGTCTGGTCCTTCAGGAAGCCGTGGAGCCACAAGAGCATGCGCGGTGTCACAGGCCGCTTCCGCCCGCTCGGCCCTTGGCCCCTCTTGAGGCCGGCGAGCGTGGACCAGAGGCGGCCGCGGTGGAGTAGAGGGTCAGGATAGCCGACTACGAGATGGGCAAAACGCACAGCAAACAACTTCTGTTTGACCGTACCTTCTGTGCGCTTCAGCACCTTGGCCAAGACGATGATGACGAATCCCAGCAACGCTTCCTCGTTGGCGTAGCGCTCCTCGCGGTCGCGCCCCTCGAGCCAGGGCGACTCGCCCTGGGCTGCCCTGAAGCCCTGCCACTGTCGCCAGCCGGTCTCATAGCCGGCGCGGGTCCCCTCAGACAGCCGCAGCACCAGCGCCTCGCGCTTCTGCTCCTCGATCCACCTGCCGTTGGCCCAACGCGATCGGCTTGACTAGCCTCTGGGTCTCCACCTTCTTGCCCCTGTTGGGGCTCCGCCTCCGCCGCCTCTTGGGTGTGTCGACAACCACGTTCAGGTCCACCTCCTCGGCGTCAGGTGGGGGCTCGGGCCCCCGCGCGAGGTCCTCCTCGATCGCTCTGAAGCGGACGCCTTGGCTCTTGCGCCTCGCTTTGTGAACATCGTCGCTTAGCGCTCCCGCGTGTCGGTCGTCCTCTGCGGCCTCGGCCGTCACGCGGAGCTCGCCCTGCGCCCAAGCCCTGAGCCGCCTCCGGGTCGTCTCCCAGGCGGCGGACTCCGCGGGGTCGCGGCAGCCGCCTGCCCGCTGGGTAGTTTGCAACGTCGCGTCCGCGACGGCGCACAGGACAGCTCTCGCCGTCTCTGGCGGCAAGGACCTCGCAGCTTCCCGCATCAGGGTATCCACGGTGTCGCCCTGGGCCCGCCTCGCCACCAAAACCGCCTCGTCGCCCCCTTGCACGATCCAGACTTCCTCGGGCGACAGCGCTCGGATGCGCCCGTCGCAGCTCCCCGGGATGTGGACCAACGCCCCTCCCGATCCGCCCGGGCCCTCTGTGGGCCAGCGAACCGTACCGATCGGGCCGTCGATCGAGCAGACCAGGTGCTTCGTGTCGGCGAGCTTGATGTGGCCGAGGCCCTTGGGCAGCATGGCGTCGGAGCCGCTCCGGGCTGCTGGGCCCCACGTGACGTTCCCCTCGTCGTCGAGCCAGTGATGGTCGCCTTCGCTGAGCTTGTCCTTCAGCGCGCGCTTCGCCCCGTGTGGACAGCGGCGCGCCGGCGGCATGCGCATGCTCGCCAGGCTAGCGCCTGCTGGTCCTCGGCCCGCCACGAGCAGGCTTCGAGCCCGGGCCGTCATGTCGCCGTAGTGGGTACAGACGACCTCCTGGTCGCACGTGCGATATCCCATCCTGCGCAGCGCTTTGACGACGCGGGTCAGGTCGAGCTTGCCGGGGGCATCGACCACGACGATCTGCGGCCTTGCTCGGGCGACCGCGGACACCAGCTTCTCGACCTCGAAACCCTTCGGGTCCAGGGACAAGGTACACATGATCCAGTCCACCTCCGTTGAGTTGCTCGTCGTCTGCTCCCCACCTAGCCGTTCCCAGGCGCGCCCGTAGGTGCCCAGCGGGCTCCCGAGCTCCAGCCCTCGGCACCCCTTGAGGGCCAGGTTGCGCGGTACCGCTGCGGGGGTCCTCAGCGCCCGATGACGGAGCGCAGACTCCGCAATGGGCCCTTCCTCCCCAGGCAGCCGCAAAATATGCTCTTTCGCCTCCGCCAGCATCTTCCCCCACGCCTCGGGCGGTTCGATACGGGCCCCCCCCTTGCGCAGGAGCTCGGAGTGGACCTTCTTGGCCTCCTCTCGCGACAGCCAGTCCGCGATGTCGTTGTGGTAGGTGCGGATGTACAGTGCGGTGGTGCTGAACCCGCGGCAGGCTTCCAAGCGCTGAATGAGGCGGACGAGGCGCCTCGCAAGCGGATGCTTGGGGCGCCTCTTGGAAATCCACGACCGCACATTCATGTTGTCAGTGACGTAGAAGACAAGCTCGCCCTGCCACTCGTCGCCCCTCGCTGCGGCCAAGGCCACGAACGCGAGCAGCTCGACGATAGCTATAGCCCAGTCCTTCTCGGCCCCCGGGTGGCTCAGCACGTCTTCCAGCTGGCGGAGGGGCGGGGCGGCATCCACGGCCATGTAGTGTGGTGGCGCCGCCTTGCTGCCTGCCACTGCGCGCCCCCAGTCCATGCTGCCGATGGTCGTCGTGGTAGCATCTCCTCCCGCCCACCTCGCCCGGGCGGCGGCACCTGGTAATGCTAGGCGCTCCGGCGGCCCCAAGCAGGAGATGAAGCTTGCATCGAAGGTGGGCGCCCAGGCTTCGGGCGCGTCGAAGAGCACTCGCAGCAGCTCGAGGGTCTGATCCCACTCGTTCCAAGCGAGGGCAACCTCCTCCGCGCCCCCTTTGGGCTCCGCCCAGGCTGCTCCGAGCCCGCCGCCAAGGAGGCGGTCGATGACCGGCAGCTCAGGCTTGATAGCCGGCTGCGTGGCCGCCCAGAACTGTTCGGAGCCCCCCAGCTCATGGGCGACCTTGATGGGTACCCGGCGGCACCCATAGCGCAGCTCGTCGATCGCCAGGAGGTGGGCGGCCTTCACGCATTTGGGCTCCGGGAGCCTCGAGCGCTGCTTGTCAACGTCCAGGTAGAGGCCCCAGACCAACTGCTCTGCCTGGAAGGTACCCTCCTCTGCCATCTTGTCAACGTTGATCGCCTCGCTGCCCCAGACACGCCTCATGCTCGCGTCGCAG